GCCTTCCAGCTGGGCAGATCCCTCGGGTATCTGATGGACATCAAAAGTCTTCTGCTTCAAAAAAAAAAAAATCTTCTTATCAGCTTGTTAGTGCTCCTCAAAATTCACGTATTAGTCATTCTCTGAGATGAAAGCATTTGAAAGCTCCTGTTAAATATTAAAAAACCTAAGACCTGCAGGCTAAATAGATTGATTTCAATTAGCTAGTTGTTTACCTAGTCCGTCGCTGAGAGAGTGGGGCTTAGGCAAGATATGTTTTGATTAAAAAAGAAGAGGCGGGGGGCCGGCCCAGTGGCTTAGCGGTTAAGTGCGCGCACTCCGCTACTGGCAGCCCAGGGTTCAGATCCCGGGCACACACCAACACATCACTTGTCCGGCCATGCTGAGGCAGCGTCCCACATACAGCAACTAGAAGGTTGTGCAACTATGACATACAACTATCTACTGGGACTTTGGGGGGAAAAAAAGGAGGCGGATTGGCAATAGATGTTAGCTCAGAGCCGGTCTTCCTCAGCAAAAAGAAGAGGATTGGCATGGATGTTAGCTCAGGGCTGATCTTCCTCACAAAAAAAAAAGAAGAGGCAGGAAAGGTCTAGCACAGGGGTTCCCTGAAATTGTGTGCTAATTGTGTGTCTGTGTGTTTTCCTTAGCTTTTATCAAGTAGTCAAAGTGAACTGGATGCGCAGATGATTGGGAGCAGGGATTCCTAAGCCCAGTCCTGGCTGAACCAGAATTCCAGGGCCTCTAGACACACAGATTCTACCTCTGGAGGTTCTGATTGAGTAGGTCTGAGTGAGGCCCCAAATCAGTATTTTTAACAAGCTTCCAAGGTGACACGCACGTGCAGCCTATGTGGATCCACCGTGGATCCACTAGTTGTTAACAGTAAAACTCACCCAGCCACCCTCCACTTAAATAACTCACAAACCAATGAGCCCTTCTCTCTGAACAATTCCTACCGCATATTGGTCACTCACCAGTTGTAGGTGGACCACTGTCTTGTATGCCAGTAGACTTGATTTCTCATCAGTGGAGTCGTATTCTTACCAAGACTCAAGTGGGTATGTTCACAAGCCTGTCATGCCAGTTACCAGTCTTATTTTAATTAAAAATGTAAAGACAACATCAACATGAGTATCAAGAAATAAAATTGCAGTTTATATGAGAACTATGTTGAATGCTTTTGAAAGACTTGCTAAAAGACAAATTGCTAAAAAAATGCTATTGAATTAGGTATAGATGAAACAACTGTAAATAATTGGGAAAAGATTTTTTTAAATTGTGTATTACATTGTTTGCAAATGTCTTTAAATTCTCACTGTATTTTAAAACACGTTCTCAACTGGGGGCAGTTTTACCCCCCAGCAGATATTTACATTGTCATTTTGATCATCATGACTGGGACATTGATACTGGCCTCTAGTGGATAGAGAATAGGGATGCTACTAAACATCCTGCAACACAGGACAGCCTCCCACAAGAAAGAATTATCTGGTCCAAAATATGAATAGACGTAGAGAAGTCCTATTTTAAAGAAACCAAAATAGGAAATCATAAGTGATTTATTATGGGTATGATTTTTGCCGTGATAGCACACAGAGCTCTAGTAGAAGCATTCAAAGGAAAGGTCTTCTCTCTTATGTCAGTTATGATAGATTCAGCTGTAAGTAACAAAGACTCAAAATAACAGGGCACAGTGCTGCCATCCTGGGATGTGGCCTTTGTCCTCCTGGTCTATAAGATAGGGGTTAGAGCTCCATGCACCCAGCAGCAGGATGGAGGAATCAACAAAGAAGAATCAAAATTTGAGGAAGCGGAGGGCAGGTACCAGCTTTCTTTTAAAGGAGGTTCCCAGAAGCTACTGCACAATATTTCCACTTATATCCCATTGGCCTGATCTTAATCATATGGTCATACTTAGCTGCAAGGAAGGTTATCTTATAGTAGCATTACAGGTGGCCATATGCCCTGTGATTGCCTTACATTGAAAGATTGGCAATTTTGTTTTTGTCTGTGTGGGTTTTAAGATAAAATGTTTGGGATATGTATTATTTTTTCTTATTGTTTCCTTGCTTTAATTGACTTTTTTCAATTAAATAACGAACTACCACTTTTCCCAATCTCATTGGATAAGAGGGCATCCTCTCTGCTTGTGAGAGCAGCCCTAGACGGCATCATCCTAGTGAGCCCAGAGCAGCAAGAACGCATCAAGCTCTTAAGTGGAGCACAGAGCGCTGAACGGAGGATGGAAAGAGTCAACAAAATCTCCTTTACTTCAGAGTTTGGTCCATGGCCAGCTCTGCTTAGGTCTTTATAAATCCAGATAATATCAATATATTCAGAGTGCTAAAACAGGGTGACTTCCTTTACCTTGAAGTGAGGGAAGGTGATCAGCATTTACTAAAACAAACAATATGTATATATATAAAACAAAAACACAGCAGCCCATATCTTTAACCTTTTGTTAAAGTGGGACTCCGCACACCATAATCTGATCTCTGGGACCAGTTCTAGTCTTGGCCTTGCTGGAGAATGGTGGCTGTGATCAAGATATATTGCCTCTCTGGCCTCAATTCCATCAAATCAGAGGTTTGAGCTCCATGACCCCATAGCATGGACCTAGAAGTCCAAAATCAAGGTGTTGGCTTGGTTGGTCCCTTCTGAGGGCTGTGAGGGAGAATCTGTTCCAGTCCTGTATCCTAGTGTCTGGTAGCCTCAGGCATTCCTTGGCTTATAAATGGCATTTTCTCTGTGTCTTCACATGACCTTCCCTCTGTGTGACTCGGTGTTCAAATTTTCCCTTTTTATAAGGACACCAGTCATACTGGATTAGGGCCCATTTTACCTCATTTTAACTTGATTACCTATATAAAGACCCTATTTCCAAATAAGGTTATCTTCTGAAGTACTGGGAGTTAGGACTTTAACATATCTTTTTGGGCGGACATAGTTAAACCCATAACAACCTCTAAGGTCCAATTCTGAACCTGCTGCTTTCTTTAGTGCTGTTGGTTAAATGCCAATATCTTAAAAGTGCAGACCAAAAGATTAGATTCCTGAGTTTGTCTTGGCGTTATACCAAGGGATTAAGGTAAAATGTAACAGAACATCCACATGGAGATAGTAGTGAAGTGCAAATTGTGAAGCTAGAAGATATTAAAGTGGATATGGTGGCATGTCCTGGACTGTCATTTAAAAATCAGCCAGCCTGAACCTTCCTCTGAGGTCCTTTTCTTACATAGTAGATATTGAACCATTGCCTCAATGTTGCATCTGATTTTTGTGTTAGGAAAATCATTTTTTGTGGAAAATACAAATATTTTTGTGCTTTGGGGTGGGAGAGAAATCCCCTTTCTACCCTTCTTGTGTTCTTGTGGTTGGATAATAATAAAATTCACACAAAGCCAGATTAACAGGAGAAAAACCCAGTTTAATACATATGTATTAGAGATCACAGAGAAATGATGCTTGGAGAGTGAACAAAGCAGGCAGTATATATATTTTTTACACCAAGAAACAATAAATTTGTGAGGAATGACAAGACAAAGAAACTTAGATTTGAGGTACATAAATAGTGAGGAATTTAAGCAGAATTTAGGCTTGAGGTAGTAAATTAGCAAGGTTTGTTTACATAGGCTTCTCGCCCCGAATTCTCCACCTCTGGTGATAAGGATGCAGGGAGCCCACCTTTCACATGGGAGATTTCTTTCCTGCTTTCACAGGGAACAGAGGGAGGAGGGTCAGAATGTCATTTTTGCTTCTCAAGTAACTTTAATTCAAAATAATCGATATGGTACTATGGGATATTTTGGGGTGGCTTGCCCTGGGCCCCAACAGTAGCATGTTTCTAGGAAATCTAGGGATACTTGGGACTTTGTCCTCCCCTCAGCTATTTTGTGATGAGACTGTCTCAAGCTATTCTCTAATTTCTGTCTTCTTTTCTCTTTTCTAGCCAGACTGCAATAAGTATCAATTACCAGCATGTACCAGAGACTTTAACCCTGTGTGTGGAAGTGACATGTCCACTTATCCCAATGAGTGTACTCTGTGCATGAAAATCAAGTAACGTAATTTTACAGTATAGACTAGCCAAGTTTTCTTTAGTTCTTTTCTTGAATTCTAATTATTTAGGAAGTAGTGGCTCTTTTCTTGGATATAAGAATCAAATGTGATGTAAGTAGTTCTGTTTTCAGATTTTAGACACAGAATCCTTCAGTGCATTTTCCAGGTTAGAGAATGAGTGATAGAGAATGTTAGAGAATGTTCCAAAGTTAGAGAATGAAGTGATTAATCAATTGTAGACCAGATAATTAAGTTATATTACTCTCCAGGGATGGGCAATCTTCTAAAATTAAGAATATATTTGGTAGTTAAACTCCGTGGAATATTAAATGTTTTTTTTAAGTTCAGAGAGCATGTACAGGTGACCTACACACCCTGCACTACTAGTCAGGAAGTAGGTCTTAATAACTCTACTTAGTAGAATGCTAAGTAATAAGTCTGTTACGCCTGATGCCCTTCATGTAACACACCTGGCCAGGTGATGGCGACTCCTCCAGCTGTGCTGGTTTGTACTCAGGGGTCCATTCTCTGACCTTATCTTCAGTGAGTCACCTAGGTCTTCTCAGAGCGATTCTTGGGGGTTAGTGCCCTGTGCCCTCGGGTTAGGGAAAAAATAGCAGAGCTGGGGTTTTCACTCTCATTTTTTCCTAGATTTAGCTTTAAAAATGATCAAGTCAGCATCACCCTGGAAGGAATCTAATGTATAATGACATGGGTCTTTTTAACACAAATAGTGAGGGAGTTTCAGTATGGTAGCTAATAAATGTGTTTTTATGGTTGTTCAATTTGCAGGGAGGATGGTCATGATATTAAAATAATTCGAGATGAACCGTGCTGATGGAGCACTTTACAGAAGAGAAATTGGAGAGCCATCTTCAACTGCACGCTAGATGAATTTCATTTCCCCTTTTTCTCTTTTGCTATGTTTCTTTGCATGAGATTTGTTAACCCACATTTTCGGAGAGGAGGTGTGGAGGAGAGCCATGTGCAGTGATTGATAATTAAAAGAAAATAAAAAGAATCCTTGTTTCTTGGCTTTTGCCCCTTGAGTTAAGCTTATTGCCCAGATGACTTGTGCGTTGCTTTATTTAGTTGGAATAAAATCAGCGTTGTATTCAAGACCCGCTGTTCTCTGTTGAATGCTCGTTCTCACTCAGCAGCCTCACGGTGGCTCTTTTCCTCTCAGGCAAAGGTGTATTTCACTAAGGGAGAAGTGGAATCAGTGTTGAGAGGGCAAGATTTATTCTAGCTCCCTCTTTTGCTGAATCTTGGATAACTAATGTATGTGTAACTGGTACAGTGCTTGGCATATGGCAAATAACCATGAGAAACTTGGAGCTGACTTTGCTGGCAAAGTCAAAGAATCGTGCAGATCAAAATATTTACTGGATTCAGTATCTCCTTTCAATACAGTTTTCCTTTGGGTTAATGCAGGAATTTGGCTTTTCCTTCTTTTAGAGTAATGGTTTTCAACCCCGGGTGACTTTTCGCCCAGGGGACATTGGCAATATGGAGGCATTTTTGGTGTCACAACTGAAGAGTGGGTGCTACTGACGCCTAATGGGCAGAGGTCAGGGGTGCTGCCAAACATCCTGCAGTGCACAGGACAGTCCCCAACAACAAGGAATTTTTCGGTCCAAAATGTCAGTGGTGCTGAGGTTGAGGCATTCTGTTTTAGCGTTGGATACAGCATAAAGAATTAAACGTCACAATAATAACAATGGCCAGGGGTTAATTTAGAATGATAACATTTTCCAGGTAGAGGATTTTGAGTCAGAAGTCCTGGATTTAAGTGCATTCTAGCACCAGGAAACCATGAGACACGAGGCATGAGATGGTTAAAAGGGTATGTAGTGGAAAGACTGTGGCTTTTTGGGGTCACTAAACCTGAGTTTGAATTCTTTTTTTTTTTTTAATAATTTTTATTTATTTATTTATTTTTTCCCCCAAAGCCCCAGTAGATAGTTGTGTGTCATAGCTGCACATCCTTCTAGTTGCTGTATGTGGGACGTGGCCTCAGCATGGCCCGAGAAGCCGCACATCGATGCACGCCTGGGATCCGAACCCAGGCCGCCAGTAGCGGAGCGCGAGCACTTAACCGCTAAGCCACGGGGCCGGCCCCTGAGTTTGAATTCTGATTGCAGTACTTCCTTGTGCTTCACTTTTCTTGTCTGGGAAATGGGGCTAATGCTCAACTCATGGAGCTGTTGTGAGGAAACTGCTTAGCACCGTGCCCGGGCGTAGAAACCACTGAAATAGTAGCTACTGTTATTTCAAGCACCCCTCTTAGAGAGGAAGAAACTGAGGCCCACGGAAGCAAACCAACTTGCCCAAGGTTAGAGAACACATTTGAAACAGAATGGGCTAGAAGCCTGGGCCTCCAAATTCCCAGCCCTTTGTTCTGATATGAAATAGAGGCAACGAAGTAGGAAGTCGTATGACATAAATGTGCTACAATTAATGTCCTGTAGTTATTTTGGGCTTAAAATTTTGTAAAAGTAGTATATGCTTTCTGCAAAATTAAAAAATGTACTAAGTACATTAAAAAAGTGAAAGTCTTGCCTATCCTAGCCTCCAGAGATAACCAATAGTAATGTTTTGGAAAGTCTCCTTTTCACTCTCTGTAAGTATGTGTGTGTATATAAAATCACACACACACACACCCCCGTAAACTTGCTCTTCTCCTTATATTTAGTTTTTTTTCACATCAATGTGTGTAGTTTCTTCTTTTTAAAAGCTGCATAGTATTTTATGGTTGTGCCGTAAGTTATCCAGTTCTACTGATCTATAGTCAGATTGTTTATCAGGAGTCTCTTGGTTGAAACTGGAGGAATCTCAAACTAGCCTTAGCTAAAGAGAAAGTTAACTGGCCCATTTAGTTGTATTTGCAGAAGAGCAGAGGGTACCTGGAACCAGGGCCTCAAACACGTCAGGACTCCTGTCTCTTCGTGTCTTGTCCTCCTCTCAGCATGAACTGCCTCATTCATAGACTAGGTGCACCTCCTGTGGGGGAGGCAAAATTGGCAGCTCCGGGGCCTATCCTAGCAGCTTGCTGACCTGACAAGAAACGATTCTGTTCTACCAGCTACAGGTGAAAAGATCTATTCAAGTCACAGCCCTACAATCTTACAACCTGAAAAGAAAATGGCTCTTTTCTAGACAGAGACCCTGATTGGTTCATGTAGGATTACACACTCACCCTTTAGGCCCATTGTTGTGGTCAGAGGAAGTAAGGTGATATATGATTGGTTCAGCTGAGATGGGAGATTGGGCGCACTGTTCCCAGAGGGGAACAAGGGAAAAATCCAAGAAGAAAACAATCAATAGATGTTAACTATAGGTTGTTTACAATTTAATGATTATGAAACTGTTTCAGAGAACATCCTTGTACACGCATCCTTGGCACTTGAAAAAAATATATATATACACGCACACAAGATTAAAATAGCTTTAAAAATTTTTTAAAGAGAAATTTATGCTCATGTATTGTACACTAATCATTTGGTCTACCCAGCAACTTTCCCTTCTTCTGCCCTAAAGAAGCATTGTTTCTGCCTTCCACTCTCCTTCTCCACTCCACTCCTGACTTCTGGTTGAATGGAGCTGCTGCCTTACATGATCCCATATCGCCGACCCTGGTGAGAGGTTGAAGGTGAGCACCTGGCCAAATTAGACCAGCCATAATTCCCACTCTCCTGCTCACAGTGGTTGGTCTGCAGTGATCATTCTGAGTCCTTCCTCAGAGAAGAGCCCTTTTCCTTTTAGGTGGTGAGACTGAGAGGCTGTGCCCCTGGAAGCTGCTGGAAGTCATGACCCCTCACCATCGAGAGAGACAGCAGTAGGAGAGCATGAGACCAATATGCCAAGGGAGGCAGAGACAAGAGACCCAGAGAGCTTTGGTGGAACTTCCCATTCCGGTTCTAGGCCTTAGGAACTCTCTTGTTTTCTGCCTTGACGGGGCTTAGGCTTAGCTGTTCAACTTTTCCCTTGATTCTGTGAGCTGGCCTGCTGTCCATTCAATATTTTCCCACCTCCGCTTTTTTTGCTTATAGCCGTTTGAGTTGGGTTGTTATCACTTAAGCAAACCCATCTACTAAAAATTCGAGCAATTCGGAAATGTGTAAAGTAAAAGGGTCTCTCTGTTGTAGTTTCATTCTCCTTTCCTGAGCAAACAAAACAGTTATTGCCCACTACAATGAGCATGGAAGACTTTATATTCAGGAAAAACTGATAATAATGATATTTCAAAAAGAAATTCAAATATATAAAGGTGTACTGTAGGGATTTTGTTGCAATATTGTTTTTGTCACACTGAACTATTAACAATCAATACTTCTGCACTTTTTTGTCCAAACTTTTGTCTATTATTATTAAAATATATGTGTGTGTGTGTGTGCGCGTGTGTATCTCCTGTAAACTTGCTTTTCTCCCTTATATAGTAGGTCAGTTTTCATACTAATGTATGTGGTTTCTTCTTTTTAAAAGTTATGTGGTATTCTGTTATATTTTTGTGCCATAATTTATCCAGTCTGTGTTGATCTATATTTGGATGCTTTATTAGGATTCTCTTGGTTGAAAGTGGGAGAATCCCAACTCAAACTAGTCTAAGCTAAAAGGAGAATTAATTAGTTCCTGGATATAACAGAATGACTAAGCACATGAGCTCAAAGTCAGATATCTGCATACATTGAGCAAGTTACGATTTGACTCAGTTTCCTCATCTGTAAAGTGAGGATGATAATAGTACCTCTTTCATAGGATTGTTGTGAGGATTAAATAAAATAATACACGTCAGGTGCTCAGAGCACTTGAAATGTTGGCTATATTATAGAAAACTATACCATTTTTTTAACAACCTGCTTTTATGACTTGACATTATATCATGGATATTTTTCCAAGTCAGTACATAGAGATCTACTTCATTTTTTAAAAAGAACTGTATTGTATTCTGTTATACAGACATACCATAATTTATTTATTCAATTCCCTAGTAATGGACATTTAGGTTATTTCTCATTTTTCACCTTCACAAATAATGTTGCAACAACATCTTTGTACACATATCCTTCTTTATTTGTCCAAGCATTCTGTAGGATAAATTCATAGGCTTGGAATTACTTGGTTAGAAGATAAACATATTTAAAATTTTGAAAGAGACTGCAAAATTTCTGAAAAGGTTGTACCTATTCACATTCTCTCTGGGGCAAATGAGTGCCTGGTCTTCTTTTCACTACTACTGTTGTGTAATGGAAGCAGTACTGCCCCAAATATGCTCACTCAAAGTTGTATTGCAAGCTCAGATTTGTATTCATCCTTTGTTGAAGAATTCCCCTTTTTCCCCTCTTAAAAGTATTCTCAGGGGCCGGTCCAATGGTGTAGTGGTTGACTTTGTGCACTCTGCTTCGGCAGCCTGGGGTTTGTGGGTTTGGATCCCGGGCACAGACGTACGCATTGCTTATCAAGCCATGCTGTGGTAGGCATCCCACATATAAAATAGAGGAAGATGGGCACACATGTTAGCTCAGGGCCAATCTTCCTCAGCAAAAAGAGAAGGGTTGGCAACAGATGTTACCTCAGGGCTAATCTTCCTCACCAGAAAAAAAAGTGTTCTCATTATAAAAATGACATGTAGTGATTATAATCACCCAAAGTAAATGGTGAAAAGAATAGTCCACCAGTCCATGAAGAGTTCTAGAATAGAAGATCCCAGAGGATAGAGATCTTGCTAGTCTTGCTCATCATGGTATCTTCAGTTCCTGGGACAGTGCCTAGCACAGTGCGTTATTTGTTGACTGAAGGAATGCCTAGGAGGCCTCCCAAAATAATGACAACAAAACCACCAACCTCCCTGAATTTCCTTCTTTCCCCCAAAACAGGCACGATAACCCGTACACACAACCCACATACCACAAGGAAAACAAGGTTTTGACTCTTGCCCAACAGTGAATTTCATTTTTTTCCACTATGTTCCTCTGGGAAAGAGAACAAGACTGGATGCCCAGGTGATCTTGAACAATTCCAGAAGCATTCCTTAAACTTAGTTTAAATTTTTTATTAAGTATCCACTTTGTATCTGATCATTCATTCATTTATGCCGTGAACATTTGTGGATGTCTAT